GCCCGCGCCCCTCCTCTCAGCATCCCCCGCGGCCCTCCTCCCAGCCGCACCCCTCCTCTCAGCCGCTCCCCCCGCACCCCTCCTCTCAGCCCTGCGCCCCTCAGCCCCTCATATTGCAGCCCGAATGTCTGCCGCGAGCCCCTCAGCTGACCCTGGTAGCACTGAAGACGGGGCTCGGCCGGAGGGGACTGGAGCAAATCTCTTAGAACAAACGGAATTTTTGTCTTTTCCCCAAAGTTTATACATTTGCCAAATATTTTTGTTTTATTCTAGAGACGGAGAGTTTGTTTTAAGGAGACGAAGTGCACTTGTTTCTGAACCACTGCCATTAATCGATGTCTTTAGGTAAGGGTAGTATTGCTGGTCATCTCTCCTCGTGTTTGTTCTGGTAGCTTTTGTGCTATAATTATGCGGATGATACTTTTTTGTGGTAGAAAAACGTTAAATTACAGGTAAAAGCAATAATGAACGTATAAAAATGGACTCATCCGCCCTGGCAACTTTTTACAACAAAACATCAAGAGCATTTTTCCTTGCTAATAAATATCTTCTTTTTTTTTTTTAAGATTTTATTTATTTATTTGACAGAGAGTACAAGTAGGCAGAGCAGCAGAGAGAGGCAGGGAGAAGCAGGCTCTCTGCTGAGCAGGGAGCCCGATGTGCGGCTCGATTCCAGGACCCTGGGATCATGACCTGAGCCGAAGGCAGACGCTTAACCGACTGAGCCACCCAGGCTCCTCGCTAATAAATATCTTCAAAGTATTCACATATAGGGGGCCTGTTCTCGGGTCTGGGGATGCTGACGGGACCTCTCACTCTGTGGGGCAGAGAGTGGGCTGCCGGTGCAGGACAGTCAACCAACTGCACATTTGTGATAAAGTCTAAATGCAGCAGCGAAGTGCAGGGATCTACAGGGATGCTGGAGAGAAGCCTAGAAGTGAGGTCAAAGGGAGGCTTCCTGAGAGCTTCCTGAGTATCCACAGGTGGAATGTGGGGGAGAGAACCTCTGAGAAAACCCCAGGCAGGAAAAAGTTACTTAAAGATCTGTTGGCATACGTGCTTATTACAAAATGATGTTTGAGATTAAAAAACAAAAAAAAAGAGGAAACCAGGCATAACTTTGTTAAGTGCTATTGTAATTCTTTTTGCATCAGTCTAACAAAATTAACATTACTTATTTTTCAGAAGAATATTTTCACAAAGTAAACTTGTAAAATATGAATACAAATTTCCCATAGCCTAAAACTTTCAAGCCTTGGTTGGCTGCAACACATGAAAACTCAATTTGAAAGCTTTCCTTTGCTATATATATAAACACCCAGGTTTTTATGTGTTGGTTGTTTTTTTTTTTTTTCAGTTTTAATGACTTTATGAAAGTTTGTGTCAGTACTGTACTCCGAAATCAGAGCCCTGACCAGTGTAGATGTCCCCTCGGTGATGTGTGTGTGTAGGAGGCCTCTGGATCCTGCTGCTTCCCCTGACTCCAGTACCCGCCCCCCATGGCAGAGAGAACACCACCTCAAAAAGTGTGCCTTTGTTTAGTATTCAGGGTGTACATAAGAAAAAGGTACCTCTGTGCCTTTAGCTTCTCACTGAATGGGATTTCCTTCTGTAGATCCACACTGAGCCTTCAAGGCTTCCTCTGATAATAGCTATTGCATTGCTAAAAGCAAATGGCACAGTCCATGCCCCACTCCAGTGGTAGTGATAGAACGTTGCAGTGTTGAGTATTTTTTTACACAATCTTTTTGTTGTAGTTAAATATACATAATTTAAATTTTATCATTTTAATTATTTGCATGTAAACGAGTCGGTGACATTAAGCACAGTGACATGTTGTGTAATCATCCCCACAATCTCTCAACAGTACTTTTCCATCTTCCCAAACAGAAACCCTGTCTCCATTAAACATGAACTTCCTGTCCCCCAGCACCACAGGCCCTGGTACCCACCCTTTCACTTTCTGTCTGTGAATTTGACTATTGTAGGGCCCTCCTATAGGTGGAAACACACTGTATTTGTCCCTTTGTGATTGGCTTATTTCACTGAGCATAATGTCTTCTACGTTCATCCGTGTTGTAACATGTCAGAATTTCAAGGCTGGATAATACTTCATCCTATGTATGCACCATATCGTGTTGATTCATTCATCTGTCAATAGACATTTGGGTTGTTTCCACCTTTTGGCTACTGTGAATGGTGCTGCTATGAACATGGGTGTACAAGGATCTGTTCAAGTCCCTGCTTTCCGTCTTTTGGGGATATACCCAGAACGGGAGTTGCTAAATCATATGGTAATTCTATGTTTAAGTTTTAAGGAACCACCATACTGTTTTGCACGGCGTCTGTGCCAATTTACACTCCCACTGGCAGTGCACAAGTGTTCCAGTTTTTCCACGTCTTTGCCAACAGTTATTTTCTCTCTTTCTGATCACAGCCATCCTAATGGGCATAACGTTGAATAATTTTGAATGAAAGCAAACTAACCTACAAATACTCTCCTCTGCCAATTAGTGTCCCTAAGCTGACTCTGGGGTATGAAAAGTGGGCAGTGGTGACCATCCTGTCATTCGCCATCCTATCCCTCCGGCAAAAGGGCAATAAGCACATCTTTTCCAGGAGAGAAAGATGTTAAATTTGGGAAACTAAACAAGTTCAACTACCCCACAGTTACCAGGGCTTTGTTTTCTTAATTCTCTAACAAAGGAATCCTGTTGCCTCCTACTACCTGAGAGCCAGATGTAGAAGACAGCCTTGGTTTTCACACTTTATCACAAATTGAATACTAGCTTTTCTTATGTATTTTTGTGAAAGAGTTTTGGGCTTCTATTTGGTTGGAAATTTTTGCTTGAAGGGCAGCTATAGAAATACAAATTTTCTTCATTATGATGAATAAAAATGATCAAGATTTACACGTGGTCTAGGTGGCTGGGCTTTTTCTTATGGTTTAATGGCAGTGTTTTCTTCTTTTCCATCACAACCTGCATCATTCTAGGTCCAATTTCTTGCTTCTAATTATATATTTTTTCCCTGTTAGAGATCTCTTTCATGTAAAGTTGCCCACATGGTCTTAAGGGGTATTTGTAAGTTGCACTGTGTTACGATAGTAGGTTTGTGATGCTTTTCTTTCCTAATTCTATGTAGTCATTTCTTCTCATTGTTCAAAAGCAACAGGACTTGGCTGTTTTTCTTCCCTGCAGGTTTCAACCTTGACTAGGTCTGAGTTTCATCATGGCTCTCTATTTTGACCACCGAATAGAAGCCCCAGACTCCGTCGGGTCTCCTTCACACATCCATTGGCACCCTGTTCATCCATTCCTGGTGGTTGCCTCCATCAGCACGACCTCAGGAGGCAGCGTGGATATATATCTGGAACAAGTGAGTCCTAGGAAGTAATGTTTCTGATTTCCAGGGCTTCTAGCTCTTGTGTCCCTTTTGTTCTCACATATGTGTGCACATGGATGTATGTTGTATGTGTCATGGGGGAGTGTGTACAGGTGTGTGGTATGTGTTGTGTGTGTTTTGTGTGTGCTATGTGTGTCATGTGTGCCGTGGAGGGGGTATGTTGTGTGTGGTGTGTGCATGTGTGTGGTGTGTGTGTCATGTATAGGGGATATGTGGTGTGTGTGCGCTGTATGGTATATGTATTGTGCAGTGTGTCATGTGTGATATGTGTCATGTGTAGTATGTGGTGTATGTCACTTGTCTTGTATGTGGTATGTACATATGTGGTGTGTGTGGCATGTGTGTGTCCTGTGGTATGTGGTATGTGTGCAGTATGTGGTACGTGTGTTGTGTATGTATGTGGTGTGTGTGGTACGTGGTGTCTTTGTCATATGTATGTGGGATATAGTGTGCGTGATATGTGGTATGTGGTGTGTGTGATGTGTATGTGGCGTGTGTGTGGTATGTGTTATGTGTGGTGTGTGTGGCATGTGGTGTGTGTGTGGTATATGGTGCGTTTGGTGTGCATGTATGTGGTGTGTGTGGTGCAAGTGTGGAATGTGGTGTGTGTGTGCCATGAGCATGGAATGTGGTACACGTATGGTACATGGTACATGTGTGGTATGTATTACATGTGGTGTGTATGTATGTGGTATATATGTGGTATGTGTTATATGTGTGGTATGTGGTGTGTATGGAAAGTGGTGTGTGTGGCATGTGGTAAGCGTGTTGTATATGTATGTGCTGTATGTGGTATGCATATGTGGTATATGGTGTGTGTGTGTGGCATGTCGTATGTGATGTGTGTGTGGTGTGTGTGGTATGTGGTATATGTGTGGTACATGGTGTGTGTGATGTGTATGAATGTGGTACATGTGTGGCATGTGGTGTGTGCCGTATGTGGTATGTGTGTCATGTGTATGTGGTATGTGCTATGTGTGGCATGTGGTAGTGGTGTGTATGTATCTGGTGTGTGTGCAGTGAGTGTGGCATGTGATGTGTGTGATGTGTATATATTAGGTGTGTGGTATGTGGTGCTTATGTGGTATGGGTGTGTGGTACATGGGGTGTGTGTGTTGTGGTGTTGTGTGTCATGTGTGTTGTGAGTGTGGTATGTGTGTGGTATGTGATGTATGCATGTCATGTGGTGAGTGTGGTGTGTGTGGTGTGTATATATGTGGTATGTGTGGTATTTGGTGCTTGTGTGGTATGGGTATGTGGGGTGTGGGGTGTGTGTGTCATGCACGATGTGTATCGTGTGTGTTGTGAGTGTGGTATGTGGTATGTGATGTGTGTAGTATGTTGTATGAGTGTGGTATGCGGTACATGTGTGGTATGTGGTGTGTGCATGTTGTGTGGTGAGTGTGGTGTGTATATGTATGTGGTATGTGTGGTATGTGGGGGGGTGTCATGTGCTGTGAGTGTGGTATGTGGTATGTGTGTGGTGTGTGATGTGCGTAGTATGTGGTGTGAGTGTGGTATGTGATACATATGTGGTGTGTGCATGTCGTGTGGTGTGGTGTGTGTGTATGTGGTGTGTGTGGTATGTGGTGCATGTGTGTGTCTTATGTGTGTGGTATGTGGTGCATGTGTGTGTCTTATGTGTGTGTATCACTTCTTCCTGAGGTTCAGATTCCCAGTACTATAAGAGCCCTGTGATGTGGATAATTCTTTTAGCCCTGCTACTTAGGTTTGGGGACATATTTAGGGATGTAAAACAGATTCCATAGTCAGTCCATGCCTCTAACCAGAAATGGCCCCTCCATGCTATCTGTGCATCCTGGGCCAGTCTCCTGTTGGCCCCACTGGCCATTGGAAACTGTTGGTGTCCTGTGGCTGCCATAACAAATTACAACAAGCCGGCTGGCTTAAAACAGAAATGTAACCTCTCACCATTCTGGAGGCCAGAAGTCTGAAATAAGGGCTCCTCAGGTCCACGCTGTCTCTGAAGGCTCTGGGGCAGGACCCGTGTCGGGCCTTGCCTTGGCTTCTGGTGGTTTCCGGCAATCCTAGGCAGTCCTCCGGTTGCACCTGCATCACTCCACTGCATTTGTCGTCACATGTGTCTCCTCTGTGTGTCCGTGTGTCTTTCCTCTTCTTATAAGGACGCCAGCCATCAGATTAGGGCCCATTCCAATGACCTCTTCTTAAGCTGAACATCTGCAGAGACTCTTATTTCCAAATAAGGCCGTATCACAGGCACCAGGTTAGGACTTCAACATGTTTTGGTTTTTTTGTTTTTTCTTTTTTTTAAGATTAATTTAGAGAGAGAGAGAATGAGCAGGAGGGGAAGAGGGAAAGGGAGAGAGAATCCCAAGCAGACACCCCATTGAGCACAGAGCCTGACACGGGGCACGATCTCACGACCCTGAGATCCCGACCTGAGCCAAAACCGAGTCAGACGCTTAACCGGCTGTGTCACCCAGGAGCCCTAGGACTTAAACATATCTTTTTCAGGGTGCACAATTCCACCTGTACCAGGAACTTTGTAGAAGCCCCTCAAACTTCCCATACTTCACCCCACTCCCCACCTTCCTCAGTGCATGACACACCTCATACTTCACAAAGAAAATCAGAATTTTCTTCCCAGTCCTCAACCTTCTGAAGTGTCACTGTCGCCCCTGCAACTCCAGCAAAGCAGCTAGGGTCATAGTGACATCTGCATGCTCTTGGGTCCTTATCTGATCTCCCCCTCTCTGCAGAGTTCCTCACTCTAAGTCTCTCGGGAAACAGTCTGGAGGTGAGAGGGGGCTGAAAATAACTTTGGCCTTGCAGACCCTGAAAAGGCTCTTGGGGTCACCCCAGAGACTGTGCTTAGAGAACCTTGGGATCAACAAATTTGACCTCTTGGCCCACTGCTTGTTTTTGTAAATAAAGTTGTATTGGAACCCATTAAAATGCTAGCTAGCAACCAAGCAGCTGTGAGTATGAGGTCATCCTCCTTGATAAGCTGGTCAGCGAGCTCAGTTGAGTGTTAACTGTATGTTTTCATAGTGCAGCCAAGAGCAAGCTTGGCGTTTTAATGAAAATTAAGTAGAACATTTTTTTTTATTCTTATGTTAATCCCCATACATTACATCATTAGTTTTAGATGAAGTGTTCCATGATTCATTGTTTATGCATAACACCCAGTGCTCCATGCAGAATGTGCCCTCCTCAATACCCACCACCAGGCTAACCCATCCTCCCACCCCCCCTCCCTCTAGAACCCTGTTAGTTTTTCAGAGTCCATCGTCTCTCATGGTAAGTAGAACATTTTTTTAATAAATGGCTCTTTATATCTTCTAGCTGATCTCGATATCATTGATTAGCCAGAAGTTCCTAGAATGCTGTCTCTCTTCACAATATGGAATTTACCTCTTGCCTATTATAGGGTGAGCATGTGCCCGATACCCATATGGAGAGGTCGTTCCGGGTCACTTCCCTGTGCTGGCACCCAGCGCGCCTGATCCTAGCTATTGGCTGGGAGACTGGAGAAGTGACAGTGTTTAATAAGCAGGACAAGGAGCAGCATTCGATCCCCCCGACACACACCACCGACGTCACGGTCCTCAAGTGGAGCCCCAAAGGGAACTGCCTTGTGTCAGGGGACAGGGTAAGCAGACTTGGCTGACACTGATTTCAGATCCCTACCTTTCCCTGCCAGTGCTCTTTGGGATACATGTTGGGAAGGCTGTTAAAGACCAAAGTTTTAGAAATATGTGGTTGCTGAATTCAGTTGATCTTGATGGATGTCATGGCAGATTCTGTTTCATACTGGAAGCAAGGTTTGCAAATTTCATTCTACCATCCCACTCAGTGGCAGAGGTATGTCTGTAATTGTTTAAGTGAACTTCTTCAGGAAGCTGTATTCATAAAGGTGGGGTGACTTTTTCAGGTACTATAGTTTTAATGGCACCCCTGAATCATTAGCTTCCCTGAGCATGCTTCTTCATTGCCTGGGAGGCCCTGGTCCTCATTGTCTAGCTCAGGGCTTCTTCACAGGGTCATTTTGCCCCCAGGGGACATTTGGCAGAATCTGGAGACAATTTTTGTTGTCAGAATGGTGGTGGGGTGGACACAGGGCGGTGCCCTGACATCTAGTAGGTGGAGACCAGAGATACTGATCAACATTCTGTTACGCACAGGACAGACCCCACAGCAGAGAATGATCCAGCCTAAAGTGTTAACCATTCCCAGGTTGGGAAACTGTGGTCTAAATCGATTCATAAACATATGGCAGAAATTTTACAATGTACTCATTCATTTTACATGTGCCAGGTAATACATTTCCCTGTTTCAAAGTCCCGATAAGTATGAGAAAGTATATATATATATCATGGCAACTCTCCACCCCCACCCCATCTCCTCCTCCATTCCCCTCCCACCCATCCTCAGTGCCCAAGCTTCGTAAAGCTTCTGTTTCTTCAGATACAAACCAGCACATCCGAATGCATTCTTTCCCCAGTTTCCAGTTTTTGAAAAATTTGAAACTTTCAGAGGCTTTGAAAGTATAATTTAATGAACACTATATACCGTTTATGTAAATTCATTAGCTGTTACCGTTTTGTTACATCTACTTTCTCTCTATATATATTTTTTTCCCTGAATATTTGAGACTTTGTCACAGACATCACGCTTCCCCCCTCAACCCTTGGACGTTGCTCTCTTTAAGGGCAAGGATTTCGACACAGTTGCACCATGGCATTTGCACTCAGGAAGGCTGGGCTGAGACCGGCACCTGGGACGTAAGCCACCTTCCAGTTTTTCCAGTTGTCCTGGCACGTCTTTGGTGGATATTGTCCTAATGTAGAGTCCAGTCAAGGACCATACATTGTGTTTTTCCACCCCTTCTCTTTAGTTTCCCTTAATCACTAACAGGTCCCTGGTCTTGTCTTTTCTTTCTTCACTTATGTTTGGTCTTTGGTGACACCGACGTTTTGAGGAATCCAGACTGGTTACTTTGCAGAATGTCCTTCAGTTTAGACTTGTTGGATCATCTCCTCGTGGTTACCTTTAGATGAGGTGGTTTGGGCTGGAAATACCACATGGAGGGTGTTGTCTCCTTCATCTTCACAAAAGTGTTAGCACACGACGTGCACTGCACAATTTCTGGCTTTTACGTTTTCGTCTGCCTTGCATGTCTCTCCACATTCATACACCGTGACCTTCCTTCTCTCTAAGCCTGTGCGTGGTTACTTGAGCCTGTTACCATGTCCTTCACTGGCCCTTGCTGATAAGCACGTCGGTGGTTTCCAATCTTTTGCTAAACAGACAGAGGTACGGTAGCTAACTTTGTGCTTATGTTGTTTCGCGCGCGGCGAAATCAGTGAAAGTCCTGCACATGGGGCAGCCGGGTCCCAGAGCTTGAGCATTAGTGGTGGGTGCCCGAGACTCCCTCTATGGGGCTAGTACCAGCTCCGACCAACACACCAGCATGTCCCCCACAGACAGTTGGATCCACATTCAGAATTTTGCTGAGAAAAGTGCCGTGTCAGAAGTGTTCTAATTTACATTTCTCTTGCTATTGAAGGGGTCTGTTACTTAGAAGAGCCAATTATATATCCTTTTCTAATCAAATCACTTGCCCATTTTGGTATCGATTTGTTCCCCTTTTTTCTAGATTTTCCTTCTTTTTTTTAAAGATTTTATTTATTTATTTGAGATACAGAGAGAGTGAGCGGGTGAGAGAGAGAGAGCACAAGCAAGGGGAGAGGCAGAGGGAGAGGGAGAGGGAGAAGCAGACTCCCCGCCGAGCAGGGAGACCGATGTGGGGTTCGATCCCAGGACCCTGAGATCATGACCTGAGCCGAAGGCAGATGTGTAACCGACTGAGCCACCCAGGCGCCCCTAGATTTTTCTTCTGTTTTTCAATTCAATTTCCACCTAATGGCATTGCCCTGTCTAGTTGCTTCATGATCTTTCCCTTCTCCCTGCTGTGGAATACTCAGCAGATCCTCTGTAGGAATAAAAGAACTCAAGATCATCGAATCTCATCATCATCTTGATTATATTAAGAAACAACTAACAAAGCAGATTCCTCAAGCATGCAAGGAAACCCAGGTTTGTGCTATCAAAGCCCTCTGAGTTAATATATTTAAGAAGAGAAATCCTGATCCTTCCAAGAAAGTCTAAGATGGTGCGGATCCTGATTTAATAATGGGCTCAAGCAGGAAAAGAAGTACTGAATGAACGAGCACTCGGAGTGCTGCACCACCTAGAGCCATCCTTAGCAGGCTTGGCTGAGGGTCTTCCATCTCTTGCCAGAGACTGTTTTGGTTCGGGTGGGTTTGGTTACCCGTGAAACCATCCCAGACTACCTGAAGTAAGAAGGGACACTTAATCGGAAGCCATTGGAGTATCCCAAGGTCCCTGGAACAGGAGGGCAGCTGGCTTCAGGACATCTAGACCAAGAATGAGGTGCCAGTGGACACACATCCCTCTGCAGTGTGCCCCTTCTGCCACAGCCATGTCTCTCCACTGCCCCGCTCCATTCACAAGGCAGTACCCCAGGTGCTGGAAAGTAAGGCATTCACACCCCCCCCATACACCCAGGGACAACTGCCCCTCCTCCTCTGTCCCAAGTCCCGCTCGAGCCCAGTGACCACATGGACAGCAGTCAGCAGTGCCCAGGGAGGTGGGGGAGCCCTGGAAAAGGGGCACTGGGCAGATGCTGCCCCAAGTGTCCATTAGAAGAAACTCCATTGGTGAAGGTGGGAATACTGCCTGGACCAGGTCTCGCTTCCCTGCACACTCACAGAGCTGGGTGGGGGCATCAGGACACCCAGTACAGGGCGAGCCAGCTCGGGACAATTTCAGTGTAAATTATTAGAGATCCTCTTTTAGGTTCCCAGAGGCAGTTCCAGCATGCTGGCAGGTGGGGCTCCTCAGATACCACAGGGTGCCCGCAATTCCCCTCAGTTGTGACACCGTCCACCCAGAGAGCGCGTCAGCCCCACAAGTGAGGGGCTCAGCCCCACCCGATCGCCGCCACCCCCACCCCAGAGGCCAGTCCCCAGTCCTGTGCTTCTGACCACAGGCTGCACAGTGGAGGGTCCGTCCTCCTTGGGCTCTTCCAGTCAGCTGGAGTGGCTCACATTGCTCAGGGAAAAATCAACAGCCAGATGAGGAGATGCACAGGGTGAGGTCTGGGGAAGGCACAGAGTCCTCTCTAGGCGCCATTCCCCACAACACCTCCAGGTGGTCAGCTACCTGGAAGCTCTCTGAACCCAGTCCTTTTGGGTTTTTATGAGCTTCATTGCATTGTCATGATTGACTAAGTCATTGGCCATTGGTGATTGATTCAACCTGGGGGGCGTTGTCCCCTCCCTGGCGGTTGGGGTGGGACTGAAAGTTGAACCCTCTGATCACTGGTTGGTCGTCCTGGCAGCCCACCCCGCCCTTGGGCGGAGACCAAAAGTCCCCTTCAGTAACAGAACAGAAGACACCTCTGTGGCCCTTATCCTGGGAAATTCCCAGGGTTTTAGCACCTGTAAGCCATGAACCAGTGGTGAAAACCTATATGTTTGGTCACCAAACATATACTTCTTTTCAATTACGATGTAGATCCTAACATGTGGTTCATCATTTGAAGAGATAGTATGTCTCGACAATGGTACATAGAACACACTACTCAAGAATCTCTTATTACATTAAACTCTTGCTCTTGCATAGGGCTGATTTCTTGCCTTCGGAGGTAACTTGTCTGAGGTTGATAGTATAAAATTGTGTTGGATGAAGTAGCCACAAGGGGGATGGGACAGCTCAGGATTTGTCTCTCCTCTAACCCCTGGTTATCCAGAGACCTGAGGGAGAGCACATTTGACTCATTGTAACTTTTCTAAGAGATTTACTCTCCAAGTTGCTTTGTAAGGCCAACATTACAGTACAGTTGATTCTCGGACAGCTTGGGGGTTAGGGGCATCAACCTCCTGCCAGTCAGAAATCTGAGTATAGCTTTGACTCCCCCGAAAATTACCTACTAATGGCTTACTGTTGACCAGAAGCTTTCCCAGTAATATAGTCAATTAACACATATTTTGTATGTTGTATTTATTACATACTGTTCTTACAGTGAAGTAGGTTAGAATAAAGAAAACATTAAGAAACTCATAAGGGGGGCGCCTGGGTGGCTCAGCCATTAAGCGTTGCCTTCGGCTCATGTCATGATCCCAGGGTCCTGGGATGGAGACCCACATTGGGCTTGTGTTCCTTCTCTCACTGTGTCTCTCTCTGTCAAATAAAATCTTTTTTTTTTTTTTAAAGATTTTATTTATTTATTTGAGAGAGAGAGAACACATGAGAGGGGATAGGGTCAGAGGACGAAGCAGACTCCCTGCCGAGCAGGGAGCCCGATGCGGGACTCAATCCAGGGACTCCAGAATCATGACCTGAGCCGAAGGCAGTCACTTAACCAACTGAGCCACCCAGGCGCCCCTGTCAAATAAAATCTTTAAAAAAAAAGAAACTCATAAGGAAGAGCAAATACATTTACAGCATTATACTGTATTTGTCAAGAAAAATCCACATACAAGCGGATCCACGCAGTTCAGACCTGAGTCGTTCAAGGGTCATCTGTATCTGGAAACCACATTCTTGTTTACGATAAAGTGGTGCTCCCCGGCCTGCCTGCGGGGATATTGGAGACCCTGCTGATTGAAAGAAGGGTAGGAGGGAGAGGGTGTGGCTCCTGTGTCTACTGACCTTGAGCAGGAGGCACACCTTGAGGAACCCTTGGGCCTCACAGCAAAGGGCCTCTTTGCAAATGGATTTGGATAAAAGTAGTGCCCTTTGGCAAAGCATAGCTTACATCCTGGCCAGAGGCCTCCTGGACTGGTTCTGATGGTGCCATCTCCCTACCGTGACCTCTAGCACTGGTTGGCACCTTCAGTTTGAGACCTTGATGAGTTAAAAACTGAACCTATAGTACACCTGGCACCCAGATGCTGGTTTCTTTGGGTTTCCTCCAATAACGGGAGCCAGGGCTCCTTGGAGAAATAGCTGATTCTAGAACCGGGGCCGGACAGTGAGCCCAGAGACTCTTTAGTTCCAGAAAGAAAGGAAGTGCTCACAGAACCCAGAGTACAGGGTGTGTCAGAGGGACACAGAAGCTAACAAAAGACCTCCCAGTGGCCAAAGCTGGAACATCAAAATAAACAAAGTGGGGCTGGATTGTAACCTGAAGTCGAAAGTCAACATCTGTGACATAAATTGTGGTATAACCCTATGATTTCTAATAATTAAGTCAGTGGTGGAGAAGAGACAAATCTCACGTGCTGAGGAACCCCAAATGATTTAAGGAGATGGTTCATGCTCAAGGAGGTGACTTCCTTCCAAACAGTATGGGACCAAGAAGGGGAGGAAGAAGGACTTCACAGGGGACAAGGTCCCAGATGGGAGGTGACAGGAGGGGCAGCTGCAGCCAGATGAGTCACGTCGACGGCACCGACCCCGACATGCCGCGCCATAACGAGGAGGAGGGCGCGTGGTCTCCGTGGCCTTCTCCCCAAACCCACAACCCAGTCCAGTCATGAGAAGAGCATCAACCAAGGCCCAGTGGAGGGATGTTCCACAGCATCCCTGACCAGTCCTCAAAGCCAGGGAGTCAGAGGAGCCTCAGGGGACGTGACGCCCAAATGTCCTGTGGCTCCTGGAGGGGATCTGGGGACAGAAAGCAGATGGCAGGGAGGAACTGAAGAAATGTGAATAAAGCACGACTCTAGTTAATACAATATGTCAGTATTGGCTCATTAATTCTGAGAGCTGCCCCACACTAAGTACGATCTGCTAATTGGAGAAGCTCGAGGTAGAGAATGGGACTTCTCTGAATGACCTTGCCACTTTTTGTAAATCTGAATCTATTCTGTTTTAAAAGTTGGGCACGTGACCATTGTTGTCTCCAGGGCAAAGGGCACATAGGAAGGCTTCTGGTTTCTTTGCGGAAGATTTTTGAATTATTTGTACTTGACCGTGCACATGTAGTAGTTTTGTACTTTGGTTTAAAAGGAGTAAGCCTGTGTTCTGTGGCACAGCATAACTCTTGCCTTCTACCGGTCACTGGTAAGAATGTGTCTCCTCCACATGGTATTGGGTTTTCCAGCTTGGTGTCCTGCTCTTGTGGAGGTTGGACCAAAGGGGTCGAGTACAAGGGACGCCCCTGCTGAAACACGATCACGGAAAAACCCTAACTTACTGCATCTTCCGGCTCCCCCCTCCTGGCGAGTAAGTAGGAACTCTAAGTGGTGGCCTTGTCTCGACATCCCTAGGGGCTGGTGCCGGGCGGGATGTGGCTCCTCCTGATGGGATCATAGCTGCCCCCCCAGTCCTTTTGGGTTATTATGGAGCTTCATTGCACACTCAGGATTGAATAAGTCATTGGCCATTGGTGATTGATTCAACCAGGGGAGGGGGGC